AACAAACTTGACTCGTGTGTGTGCGCCACGTGCACCAATCCCACACTTCAATTCCTTCACCAGAGGCCCACCCTGAGAACCTTGAGTACGGTGCGGTGCCTTGAGTATTGCTTGGGCAACTTGTACTGCCATACGAAGCAGCCCGTCAGAAGCATGGACAGCGCCATGAAGAACACCAAGCCACCCGAGATCAGATGCTGCTCGCCCGCCATGGCCATCGCTACGCGGAGCAGTAAGGCTACACGCAGAGAAGGAGAGGGCATTGTGGAAGTTATCGTCGCTTAGAGAAATACTCTAAGTGCCTTTCTATTGAGTCTTAACAATAATGATGGAAGGTTTATGGTGTATACGCGTTGGGAACGATTAAACAATGAGACATTTTATTGAGACAAGACTTTGAGCTCCAGGTTATTTAGCAGAGCTGCCATGGATATTCATTGTTTAAGTACTATATAGTAATTTGGCATAATTTATGTAATACGCAGAAGTAAAGTATGCACGGTGATCATAATTACCCGAAAGCCTACGTGTTAAACCAAGGGGTTTTAATTCGGAACGAATTAACACGTTTTCTTTACGTGTAAAACCTCACTAATTGGTTGTGTCGGGTGGTGGCAGGTTTAACGACACATTTATATTTACGCGATCTAACCCCCCCAAACCCCCCCTCCCCCCTCTATTAAGGTAAACAAAAAACATATTTGCCCTGCAAAGCATTGCCTTGCAACCTGCACCAACCGACTGTTAGGTTTAAATATTGACAGAAATCTTTCGTGACTGCAGGAATTCATATTCTTTGGGTCTTTCGGTAAAGTCACGTAGATAGGTTAAAAAAAAGACAAGGTTTATCCACCGTGTGGCGAGCGCCTTGCATGTGTAGTGACATCGGTGATGTCACTGTGGGGTGCCGGCCCGGGAGGGCCGTGGCGTGCGATGTACCAACGTCGCGGACAGCACCCTGACCTAGCGGGGCTTGGTGTGTGCTGGGATAGCGTAGGCACCACGCATGGAGTGCAGTGTGGGCCTCCCACAGAGGGGAGCGGGAGAGCTCTCGAGAGGGATCGAGAGGGAGGCTGGAGCCGGCCCCGAACCCGGGAGGATATAAAGCGGCTCCCTGAGAGGGACCGGGGTCGCTTGGTTCTACAAGCTGGAAGCTCCGCGTCCTACGTCTGAAGAGGCACCAACAAACACGTGGCCGGGACCCGAGTGAGGGTGCGGTTCATCGTAGCTGTAACTCCTCTGTGTCGTGTAGTTAGCTGGGTGGTCACCACCCTAGGCTGTATCTGGTAAAGGGGCAGTTACCCCTTTTGTATATACGTGTTTTTGAATAAATGCGTTGCCTCTGAGGAACAACGTCTGCGACTCAGTTGGACTCACTACACATGCGTACAGACGCCACTGCCACGCTCAGTACGACGAGCAAGGCCGTTCGGAGGGTGAGGCTCGACAGGGCCGGATAAATGTTCTTGTTGGCCCGAGGAACTTCTGTTCCGTAGGCCTTCAGTGATCACTCTCTACAGTTGGTACTGCTGCTGACCCATGTTACTGCCACCGCTGTCACTCGCTTGATTGTGCGAAAAAACACGATTTGAAGATGTTATTGCTAATTTTGCAATGAATATTTTTCGAAAAGTTCATCTCCGGTGTTAATTTATCTCACTTTGTGAAAAAAAGAAAACGATTGATATGACTCTGCCTCTTTGTGTACACACTGTGCCTATCCTTGCTATATACATATATTTACTGAAAAAGATATCATGGTTACATTTTTTATCACACAAACAAACAAAAAACATGGTTACATTTTTGTCGTAGGCCCTTTTAGTTTGTGTCGGCCCTATGCACAGTGCCTCCTGTGGACTATTGGCTAATACGGCCCTGAGGCTCGTTTTTCTTTTACAGCTGGGAAGTGCAGCCGGGAGGGCACCGAGTTTCTGGCGAGAATGTTCCAGCAAAGCGGTAAATTCACTTCACGTGCTATACTATGTATGGTGTGTCAATACCATGCATAATGATGAGAAATAAGAATAGGTTTTACCATTTCTGGCAATAAAACAGGAGGTGTAAAGATGTTTAAACACCAAATAGACACATTTTTCACAAGGCATCAAGCCTGCATTAACCACTCATGTTTATGGTAAAACATGCTAACAAACATATTATACATATGATTGTGCGCATTATTTTGACTTCTTTGCTGGAATGTTACGACACATTGCATTGTTTTAATAAATAAAATAGGTGAACTGGCACAAATTAAAGCTATTAATTAACTTAAATGCTATGCAGTATGCTCATAAAATTAAATCCCTGGCACATCACAAATCCTGATTTAAATGTCCCACTGGACACCGCAGCAATCAGGGAATTCCAAGCTACTGCAGCACGAATAGTTTACAGTGGATTTACATCCATCAATCAGTCTACTACATGGTGTACTGGCTATGACATTAACCTATTTTCTACTTTATATATGTCAGTTATGTAAAAAAAAGTGAGATGCCAGATCATCACCAGAACACGTGGGAGACTAATGAGTGAACTTGTGCCCTTGGACACCTGGTCAGCCATATGCCCTGTTGGCGGGCTCTCGTTTGTCACATCTCTTTTACAAATTACCCCCACACATCAAGTCGCGTCAGATAATCTCCGGAGCCTCCAAATCCAGTGAACCTTCCAACTCTGCTTCACCGGACTCGGATTTGACTTCCCGTAGTGAGTGGAGGTTTTACACAAATGTACATATTTAGTTGTCATTTCTTTATTGCCTTGGTTGAGTTATTGAGCCAGCCGGCCGCGATTGTGCAAGGACATCGCCCACATCACCCAGGCAACGTGAGAGCACCGACTTAGATATCTCTTGACTTCGGTTTAAGATGAGGTGTAAGTTTAATGCACGCGCTGTCTCTTGAACATGTGTATTTTCAAATTGCCAGGCAACGCCCACATTGTACAGTCAAACATGTGCATCCATCTCATCTCCGGTGATGATCACAAGTTCTTACTATTGTCAAAACAATAGGCGAGAACATCGTGAGGAATGAGCACTTCCATGTCAGTGAGTGTGGTGGACATCTCGGCAAGGCAACAATATTTTTCGTACGATTTTTTTTTATTTTACCAGGCAAGACCAACTGACTTATGTAGTTCTTTTTTTCAGAAGCGACCTGGCTATCACAAATTATAATAGCTCAACGAAGTGGCTTATCACGTGGCAAATAGAGAGCAGCCAAATCCCCCGAACGCGTGATGTTGATTCTAAGAATGGAGGGGAAAACCCGGAGGGCCCGGAGAAACATGCACGGAACCACAGAGAGAACATACAAACTCCAAATATACTGCATGCATCAGGGTCGGGATCGAACCCACGACCTCCTGTATACCAGGCAAGGTAGTTAACATCTCGCCTCTGCACCATCACTGTGCACACAAAACGGTTGCCACTGACCAAGTCGACTGGATGGACACAATGAATGAACCGCTTAATATTAGAGAATCCCTGTAGGTACTGATATCTTACAAATGTGTAATGGACATTTAATTAATAAATGCATGCCTAACAGGTGACTCAGATGTGCCATGTTTGTTTTCGTTTTAAAGCCCACTCTTATTTTGTCAACAGAAGAAGATAAACCGATGATCATCTACATGTTAATCTACTGTCCGTGCGGGCTACCCAGAACGAGGGATTCTCTCACACGAAACGCCAACCAAGACGAACCGAGAACACAATTTTGGCACCGTAGACCCGCCACCGTAGGTAGTATGGACGTTGCTTTATGCGCACACTTCAGCGTGCTCTGCGCGCCTTACCTGGGGGACACCTTCACAGCTGCGCCAATCCCCACTCACACACGTGGCTGTTGCAAGTCGCAACTTCTCTTTACTGGTGAAATAAAATCATTCCCCAGTTGGAAGCCACGAGGTTGCTTTTTTTGTTACGTCCCGCAGATAAATTCGGCATAGCGCTTGTGCCGACAGTGCAGGGGCTCTGCTTTACGTAACGCCACGCCACCTGCTTTTGCCATCAGCAGATTTGTCTTGAACGCATTAGGGTAACGTTTCAACGCAAATGGATGCGTGTGGGAGTGCCTCGCCGCGCCTCCCTCCCTATGCGGACTTGTCATCCACCGTCCACGGTAAAATGTGTGTTGGGTACACCGAGCGTCCGTGTCGGGTTCACTCGACGCTTACTCGCGATACACTAAACAATGGGGACAACCAAAGTGGCCCTGGCCAAATGCGCGCTGCTTCTGTTCGGAGCTGCTTGTGCGGAGGACGCATCTGACACTTCTGCTCACTCTTTATTCGTGCCAAATTTTAAATAATTTACAGCCACTTGCGGGTGATTCCTGTTATCTCCAGGTGAGTGCAGGTGGTAAGATGTTCCACTCATCATTTCACGGCATGGATACTTGGAAGTGTAACGAATAAGGGCACAGATAGGTTTCACCGGTGATTCCAAACAGGTGAAATCAGCAGGCGACTGCAGACAATCCTTTGAATGTGGAGGCAAGGTTTCATGCGGTGCATCTCAATCTCCAGTTCTTGTGGCCCCCATGGTGCAGTGTTCCGTGATCAAGAATCATCAGGTGCACTCAGCGTGTAACGGTTTGAAATGCATGACAATCGAAAAGATGGGAAATCATTGGGAAGCTGGGCTGTGGGGTTCAAGGAGGAGTTTGGGAGGCACGGAGTTTGGGAAACAAGGATGTCACGTGCCAGTGGGCTGTCAACAAACGGATTCTCCTGCAAGGCTGGAATGTTTCTTCGCCAGAAATCCCGAGGCAGAGATCACAGAATACCTGAGGCCACAGTGTGCTCCTGGTTAAAGTATGTGTGATTAGCAGGCACATTGAACGTGAAATTTAAGCGGGATGCGAATTCTCTGTGCTGTGGTGGGAGTTTTGTGGATAACCCGCCTTGCAAATCAAATGTTTGCAAATACAAGGCATTATTCCGTACCATTCCACCAATAATTATTACACTTGTAATCAATATTTAGCTTGTTGAGTGTTTAATCACGCGTTGTCAATTCTCGGCAGAATTGTGGTAGTTGCTGCAGCAACTAATCCGTAAACCAATGCTTATCTAAACAAATACCCCACAAGCAGTTTGAAGAGACATCATCAAGCAACACGAAAACGAAGCTCAGACCGCAGTTTCATAATCCATCCGCATTTTTTTAATGCATTGGCCTCATGCATGCATTTTACAAATCGGTAGCAACGGAACAACACATTCCCGTCAGGATGCCCCTTCGACTATCCCTTCTTGGCCAGAAGGAAGAAGAAGCCACTCAGGTCACTGAGGTCATCCTCGAGGCTTTGGGGTCGCGGGAGCACGCGGAACGTGTGCACCTGCAAGCCCGCTGCGTGCACGGCAGCGCGCACCGCATCCTCGCTCAGGGGCAGCGCGGCGAAGCTCTGCTCCGCCACGCAGTAGACCGTTTGGCCCAGGGCCCCGATGAGCAGGAACCACCCGCCGGACACCAGCAGCGCGGCCACGTTGCGGAGCGCCGCACGGAAGCTGAGCTCCGTGTCGCACGCGCACTCCAGGCAGAAGGACGACTGCACGACATCGAACGGCGCCGGCTGCTCGGGGTGGACGATGTTGCTCTGCAAGACGTCACAGGGCAGCACGTGCTTGATCGCACGCCGCAGCCTCTCTGCCCTCGCCTTCTCCTGTCCTCTGCACAGGTGGGAACGCAGAGAGCATTGGTTCAGCGGGTGAATGTCCTTTTGTATTGCACGGCAGGGTAGCGTAGTGGTAACCCCCGTGATTCACAGCAAGAAGCACCTGGGTTTGATTCCCGACTGGGACGCCCTTCTGGTGTGGAGTTTGTACGTTCTACTGCTATGTTGCATGCGTTTCCTCCAGCTTCTCTGGTTTCCTCCCATAACCAATATACAATGCAGCAACACATCGATTCACGCCCTCCCGCGTCACGTACTTTCTCTGCAACGTACTCAACTTATTGATTGACAAGTCCCATATTGCGTGCCGAGTACCTCGCCATAACACACTCGAGATTAACGAACTTAACCATTCGGCCCCAATTTGTTTTTTTGACGCTCAAGTGTTAGTGCCCCTGACTGGCTACTCTCTCTCTCATGTGCACTCTGCTATTTGTTTCCGCCACATACTGTTTTTTTATGGCGACTATTTTGTTTCCAAGCGTCAACAATTTTACATGATAAACAACGAATAATACATATAGTAGAATAGACGTAGTAATATATCTTAATACATACTTACTATTCATACCAAATGTTGCACAGTATATATGCGCAATTACAATTACTGAGCATCCTCTGTTAAGGAACTGTACCACGCTAGGATCCACCAAAAATGCTTCTATTTAAGTTCCGCTTTTCAGGAACGCATACTGGGTGTAAACCGGGGTATGCCTGTAACTAGCAATGACCAAACATCACAATGCTGAACATTTTTTTACTGAAAATTAACTCAATTGAGGTTACAAATAGTAACAATCGCCCGTTACTGTGAGAACTTGGCAGTGGCCTCACGAACAAGTATTAGAGGCGGCCCTGTGAGGCTTCCCTGGGTAAACCCAAGCATAATCATGATACAATCATAAAAATAGGTATTGTTTTCTGATGGTGGCTTCAACAGGCGAGCTGTTTGCACGGACGCATTGCCACACTACTGGAATGAGAGGTGCGGAACGCCATTCGCACCACGTGATTGTTGCATCACATCTACCAAACCTCGTCCTCGCGAACCTGGTATTGCGCACGTGTGCAATGCATGTTTAACTACATTCGAACTACATTCCTGTAAAGCACCTAACCAATGCTTGTTAACATGTCAAGACAAGTCAACTTATGCATAAGTAGATGACGTCTTTGATATCTCTTCTGGAGACACAGACGCTTTATTTAAGCTTGAAGAACGCAATGAGCTATGAAGCTCTTTCTCAGAGGCGTCAAAGCCGAAGATGCGTGAAATAGTGGAATATTACAGAGGATATCGGCAAAGGTAGATACATTAAACAATCATACGTAAACTCTAACAAAAACGGAATTACGTGGGAAAAAATGAACAGCAATCATTGAAAATAATACCAAGAAAGAATTTAGTGATGCAATGAAAACATCTTCGTCTGGCAAGGCCCGGGCCCAGATGGCTTCCCTGTTGAATTCTGTAAGGCGGTGGGGACCAAAATGACTGCGGACCTGCTCGAGGACATCAATGCAGCTTTCTCCCTAAGGTGGCCCTCCGAGTTCCATGAACGAAGCGAGAATCTCGGTTATGCACAAGCCTAACACCCAACCAGAACTGGCAGGAAACTATAGGTCAATCTCATTGTTAAATTCCAACTATAAGTTACTCGCTAAAATTGTTGCCAAACGGGGGAGGCTCAAATAGGATTTTTTTTTTTTATCGGAAACAGGGAAATAAAGTGTTTGTTAACTATGACCAGCAGGTGGCGCAGGTGAAGCCATCATCAGAGAGGAGCGATGCCGGCCCCGTATGTTCTGTGACACGTGGACTGAGAGAGCCGAGCGTGGCATTCTCCTATGTACAGACTTTGAGTTGGGAGTTAGAGAATAAAAGTTAATCTGCCATGGAGAAGTCTTCGCGGCCATCGTTGCGAGCACGTCAATCCCCGAGTTCACTTACAAACTCATTCTAAAATAATTAGTAGCGCAGCCACCGAACTGAACACATATATATAGGCTATGCGGTTCGCAAGTGCTACAACGTGCGCGAACGAGGGAGCTGAGAGGGCCGAGGGTGAGGGCTTGCTGGCTGTCTCTGTCGCGAGATGGGGTTTGGAGGCTGGCTGAAGGAGGAGAGATCGTCTGTCCTAGGGGCCGTCCATAAATGACGTCACGCGATTTCGGACGATTTTTGACCCCCCCCCCCTCGTTCGTCACACGGCGTCACAAAAAGTCAGACCCCCCCCTCAAATATGACGTCACAAAGCTCTGCCCCCCTCCCCCCCCCTAAGAAAAAAACATGCTTCAAATCGCTTTAAACTATTGTCATTGTAGTGCGTATTTAATGTGGCGCTGCACTCTGATGTTGTAGGAGAAAACATTTATTAAGAAGTCTAATTAAGTAGAACGTGTTGTCTATATTTCTTTAAAGTTCTGCATTTTCACGTGACGTCACATTTCTCAACCCCCCCCCCCCCCCCATCGTCACACATCGTCACAAATGTCTAACCCCACCCCCGGCCCTAGGTGCGTGACGTCGTTTATGGACGGCCCCCTAGCTTGCGAGCAGTGGTGTTCTTTCCTACAATTATTTCTGAAATACCGCGGCACACCCGGGACTTTGCCGCAGCACACCAGTTGCGAAGGCCTGACCGATGGCCCACATTGCTGCCGTCCCTGCATAGTTCTGTGCGGGTGTACGACGTGCATGCTTTCCGGCTGGTGTTGCCACCTACTGGGTCCCCTGCAGGTGGCAGGCGTAGCGGATGTACGAGTCCCAGTTGTAGGCGCTGGGATCGTCTGCACGCCACAGCTCCACCTCGCGGCGGTTGGCGGGCGTGAAGTCGGCCATGGTGATCTCTGAGATGCTGTCGCAGGCGAAGAGCAGCTGGTAGATGATGGGGCCGCAGCCCACATCCAGCATCCTGGTCCCCGACACGGGCCCTGCGCCGCACGCACGCACGCACGCACGAATCCCCGGCACGAGCATGAATAACAAACAAACGCAACGCATTCGTCAATGACACTGTAATAACCACGTGACATGGCATTGTCAAGCACCTCCGGTTAGCACGATTGGAAAGAAGTTCAACATACATTGAACTTACTCGAATTGGCTATGTAAAGAAATTGGGACCGCTAAAGTTATGCCGCCTTTGGGCGGTACCGGCAAATGAGAATTTCTGGTCAGGTCTCGTGGACTAACGGTGAAATGTTGCACTCAACACCTCCAGAGGGGTGGGGCATTGACACCACAACTAGGCTCCACTGAGAAGATGGCTGTCAAGAAGCGTGGGAACCCCAAACCGTGCCTCCCTGCGAACTCCCCTTCTCGTGCTTGCTGCACCAGGACTGCGTTGCACATCTACGATGCAGGACACTGCGTGTTGGTCGCGACAGTCGAGCAGCCTCACCCTTGATGTAGGCCTCGTGCAGACACTGCATGTTGAACATAGCCACCTCCTCCACGCCGTTGTCGCCAACGTGCAGCGGCTCGTAGTACCTCTCCAGGTAGGCGCGTGCCGAGAAGAGCGAGTTGTAGTCTCGGTGTGGTTTGCCTTTCGCCTGTGCAGCCATGTCCTCCTTGCTCTGCCAACGACAGCAGAGTGGGACGAATGCAACAATCAACTTCATTTTCTATTGCTCACTGCAAAGGGCCACGATTGTGATAAATGCATCCAAGAGCCCCCCCCCCCCCCATCAACATCAGAACCGGCAGTTGGGCTAGTTTCTCGCACCCCACTTAAAGCTGGGTTCCGCAGAGATGTTCATGATGTCCACGTCACATCTGTAATAACAGAGCTAGAGGTGCACGGGCGGCGTACCCGCGAGGTTGTTCACACAGCCCTTTAAACCTGCTCCGGGGCACCTCCTCCAATCGGCTGCACGCGTACGAGTGACGCCCCCGCCCTCTGACCCCCGACCCCGGGTCCCGCGCGTGCGATTGGTGCGCGGCGCCGGGCAGGTAGCCGCGTCGAATTTTGGTGCCTGCGGGCGCGTGCGTGTGCGCGACCGCGTACGGCGTGCGTAACGTTTAGAGGAGCACGCGAGGGGGAGTGTGTGTGCGAGTTGATCCCAGGTGGCTACGCGCCAGCCGCGCATTATGCCCCGAGGGACTGCGGTGAGGGGGGGGGGGGTCGGAGGGCAGCGTCCCCGACACAGACAACTGCCTGTGCCATAGCCAAACACCAAGAGATAGCATCACAATCACACATTTGCAGCATTAAGTTCAATGAAACAAATATAACGGTTGCTGGTGGAGCAGTGGCGCAGTGATTCACACACTGAGCTAGTTGACCTGAGTTCCATTCCTGGACATGGCTTACATATAACAATAGAACTAGTCCTGCCCCCTCTCCCAAATGTCCCAACCCATACCATTGCTGAGCGTATCGAGGTATTAATCCAGCAGTGGATTGACAAATGGCTGTAAAACTTGTTGTAGGACCAGTCTTACACACCATCGTAGGGTTATGATTCACACCTCCACCCCTCTGGTTATTCAATATTTGGTTTAGGAAATGTTTTTATGTTGCGAGAAATGCAATCACCTCTATAGTGGCCAAATGGATCACGCAAAACCTTCAAATACAAAATACTATATATGACCCGAAAATATATAATCTTATGCATGCAATAGCATGCGTGTGCCTTGAGCTCGGAGTAATGCTGTTGGTAAATTCACTCATGGATACACCCCTCGGATTGAGAAAAAAAAACGTTAACTTGTTCTTATATTCTTTGGGTCTTGCGGTAAAGTCACATAGATAGATTTTGATTTAAAGCTTTCGTGACTGCAGTAATTCATATTCTTAGCTCTTTCGGTAAAGTCACGTTGAAGGGAAACAATAAAATATATATAAAACAATAAAAATTCTCACGACGTTTCGACCATAACACAAACGGTCGTCATCAGGTGTGAAAAGCAACGGCAAGAAACATTTGTTTAGTTACATATTTTGCTAATTTATAAGTGGCAGAGCCAATTGTACTATGGGTAGCAAGGGGATGCCGATTTTATGAATCTTTGGTAGCCCATACAGTCTAGGTGGTTTTGAGGCCCTTGGTTTAATTTGGTGTTGCTTTTCACACCTGATGATGACCGTTTGTGTTATGGTCGAAACGTGATAATTTTTATTGTTTTATATATATTTTATTGTTTCCCTTCAGCGTGACTTTACCGAAAGCTAAGAATATCACATAGATAGGTTCAAAGAAAATAAGAAAAAACTACGACGTTTCGATTGCACAAGCGTCCGTCAGATGCACTTGAAGTGACTTATCTTGGCTTAAAATGTAAGCGTTCTATCTTGTGATGATTAAAATAAAGCACTTTCAACTCAAGGAAAGAAAACCAACGGGTGGCCTCGCTCACAGGAAATCCTCTAAAGGGAGTTGCTTTGGTTAAAGAGGACAATGGATGGGAATCGAGGCAGCGCCAAAAGTGGCACCGTTTTGACACCATGGATGGCAACAGGGGTTTTCATCAAGGCATCCGCTTCATTCCGAGATATATTTAGCCCTATAAATATTGTTTTAGGGCATTTCTATCAGTTTTTCTTAAGTCGAAACATATACACGTATATATATTTTATTAATACCAACTTAAAGTTGTTTAGGGCCCGTACACGCATATTCAATTAATTATCACCATTTGTTGTCCTTCGAGAGTGATTCTTACACTAAACTTCTTCTAGATTTGAAGCTTTCGTGACTGCAAGGACAAGACGGACGCTTGTGTTGCCTCTGAAACGTCGTGATTTAATTGTTTTCTTTTATTTTATTTTACCTACGTGACTTTACCGAATAAAACCAAAGAGTATAAACTAAACTTTTTATTTTTCCAAATAAGGCCCACTGAGCTGTATAGCTCATCTGGAAATTTATAGCAGCCAAATACTCTAAACGCGTGTTTCTATATAACCAACAGAGGAATTCAAAACTGCAGCAATCACTGCTGAACTGCACATATTGTACATTATTTGCATATCAACAGATGAACGTATAGTGATTATGTTCAGTAGCAGCAGTATTATACATAACATGTATGAACAATATCTCCAGATAGTTTGTGTATTATATATGGTAAAAGAGAGGTGGACAGGCAACGTGTGATTTGTTTTTATACTGCAAGAGTATCTTTGTAGTCTGGGCCAGAAATATAATGTATCCCTCAGTGCAGTAAAGGAACTCTTTACACAACGTGGACCTTATTTTGATGGTGATCTCAGAAAAGCACAGCACAGTTTGATAGCACACACGGAATCTCACATTCATGATCACCGACAAACAGGGTAACATTTTATTATTTTGTATTTTATCTGTAATTTTTATTTTCATCATCTGCATCTATTGCCCATTATTCCTCGAGATGAACAAGAATAAATTAGAAAATGTCCCTCGTGTCATCGTAAACAGAACATTTCTTTGTATATTTTTAAACGTATACCAACTTGAAATACGTTGTCTAAAGCCTATTTAACCTTTAAGTTCGAATATGAAGAATATAACGATCATAGAAGAACCCTTTGCTAAGCATCGGTGTGCAATGCACTCATTACCTGAATCTCCTTCTTCAGCTGGATGTGAGATGATGGCGCGTGCGTGCTTTTAAAGCCCTCGGTACAATCACCAGATGAAGGGAGATAGCAATCGGCAGAGCCTTGGGGGGCAGAAGCTGTGAGTGCAATCTAACTACAATAGTTTATCTCTGCGTGCTTATCTCTTGGACGAGTGCTGTGAGGTGTGTGCTTCGAAAGCATCGCCACTGTGGGGGCTAATGCCCCCCTCCCCACCCCCCATTAGGTGGGGGCCGATGCCCTCCCCCCCACCCGCCATTGGGGGGTCGGGGGGGGGTCGTCAATCACCTCCTCCCCCCCCGCTCCTCGCGCGTCCTCACCGCGTGGATTACGTAATGGGTTGACTCCACTAAGCCGTTGTCAACGAGGCGAACGCTCGGAATCAATGAATAATTTCGGGCTACGCCCGCGACGCCGACGAGCGTCCCTCTTTTGAATTATTTATTAGCAAGTGCGCGCGCGTCACACCCACACTGATTTAGAGTCACCCACCCACCGTCGAACGCCGATCGCTGCCCCACCGCTCTTCACACGCACACCTACACCACGCATCGTTGCGCAACGGTCAGTCTGTGCTAAGATTTACAGTGAGGGAAAAAAAAGTATTTGATCCCCTGCTGATTTTGTACGTTTGCCCACTGACAAAGAAATGATCAGTCTATAATTTTAATGGTAGGGTTATTTGAACAGTGAGAGAGACAGAACAACAACAAGAAAATCCAGAAAACCGCATGTCAAAAATGTTATAAATTGATTTGCATTTTAATGAGGGAAATAAGTATTTGACCCCTCTGTAAAACATGACTTAGTACTTGGTGGCAAAACCCTTCTTGGCAATCACAGAGGTCAGACGTTTCTTGTAGTTGGCAACCAGGTTTGCACACATCTCAGGAGGGATTTTGTCCCACTCCTCTTTGCAGATCTTCTCCAAGTCATTAAGGTTTCGAGGCTGACGTTTGGCAACTCGAACCTTCTGCTCCCTCCACAGATTTTCTATGGGATTAAGGTCTGGAGACTGACTCGGCCACTCCAGGACCTTAATGTGCTTCTTCTTGTAGAAACTGTCACCTGCTGACGTGTGTACTGCCATACACTATCAGTAACACTTTCCATCAGCAGCCAGCGCTATTACTCTACACATGCATAGCGTTCTGAGAACGATTGGTTGACGCTTTGAACATTTGTATAATTATTAAAATAATAATTCTTAATCCTTGCAGTCCTGTGATTCCATGTGTAGGACGCAATTTGCGAGTGCAGAGTCTTGAAGAAGGCTCTAGCAATTCGGGTAGGGATAGTCCTCAGGCGGTAGAAGAGTTTAGGTAGAAAGATTGTTTTCACCATGTGGGTGTGGTTGGGGAGGGTAAGAGGAATACTATTCCATATATAGTTAGGGAAAAAGTATATACAGGCAACAAGCTGAGATTAGGAGCACTCCCTTTAAGAGTGTGCTCCTAATCTCGGCTCGTTACCTGTATGAAAGACACCCGGGAGCCAGAAATCTTTCTGATTGAGAGGGGGTCAAATACTTATTTCCCTCATTAAAATGCAAATCAATTTATAACATTTTTGACATGCGTTTTTCTGGATTTTTCTGTTGTTATTTTGTCTCTCGCTGTTCAAATAAACCTACCATTAAAATTATAGACTGATCATTTCTTTGTCAGTGGGCAAACGTACAAAATCAGTAGGGGATCAAATACTTTTTTCCCTCACTGTATTTCCCGGAGCGAATAGGGACCCCCGATTAGGCCCCCTCCAGCCAGCACCCTTCCTCCTGTCACCTACCCGTCGCAGAGTGCGTCTATCCCCTAAGCTCGAGCTGACTACGAGCTGGAATGAATTGGCCCCCTCCCCCCGTACTGACCCACCTTTCCAGCTGCACGATGGGGGTTGGGGAAGATGCCCGCCTCGGAGACTTTGCCCGGGCGATCGTTTTCAGCTGCACCCTGCAGGCGTCCCACAGACGCTGACAGCGGCTGGTGTTCTCTCCCACTCCAGAAGAACTCTGATGCAATTTTCCCTCCTGCCCCCCTTATATTCCCAAAGCCCGTTAATCCCCGGGTCATGTGATGTCATCCTGAGCATCCAATCGAATCCTCTTTTCTGCCATTTTGAGCACTCTGGCTGTTTGTGGGGGGGGGGGGTCGCGTCACCGCCCACCCTTCCCATTGTCTCTGTACCCGCGTCCCTAGCCGTTGACTCATCGATAATCCCCTCGCTCCCTCCAACTTAAATCAGCTCTTATCTGCCTAGGGGCTTTTCCCTCCCACCCCACTGTTTACTCTGCCGCTGGGTACTGGCTGAAGGTCCCAGCCCCCCTCCCTCCCCCCGTGTTGTGTATGCTTCATCGCGGCCAGCCTGTAAAGCTCTATGCCCCCTTTTTGGGGGGGGGGGGCCGCCATGTAATCCGATCTGGGGGGCTCAGCCAATTTCCTGGTCCGGGGAAACTGTGGAACGTCCCTGCTAGTGGGATCCTCGGGTGAAAACCCATCGTACCACGTGATCCCTCCTCGAGACCCTACGGGGGTGCATGTGAGTGTTTTAGTGGGGCGTGCGTGCGTTCGTGGGGGGGGGGGGGGGGGGTGCGAGTAGAGTGTGGCGCCGGCCGAGTTGCTCCGCTGCGGTGGCACCACACTCCGAGGGAGACCAAAGCGGCCGTGCGTGGTTGCTTGCTGGCTACCTACCTTGTGTGCGGTTCAGGCCTTAAGAGGTGCTCGCTAGCATCGCTTTTTCCCAACAGTCTGTTCAGGCTGTACAGGAGATCCTTGTCTTTTTATTTTGTGTGTGTGAGAGTGTAGCCGGGAAGGGCAGTGTAGCGGTTAGCGTGTTGTGCCATGAACCTGCCGACATCGAGTTCGATTCCTGCTCAGGGACAGCAGCACCATCAGTGACGATGACCTAAACCGGTCCTGGGCCTCCCCTAGGTCGACTCAGCCTCAAATAAGTACCTGGTGCGGTGTGTAAACATCGCCACTGGGGAGACAAAGGCGGCCGGGCGTGGTGTTGTCACGTGACCCTCGCATGTGGAAGTGTAACGCATTGTAGTGTAGCGGTTAGCGCGCCGCGCTACGAACCCGGCGACCCGAGTTCGATTCCCGCTCACGGCCACCACCGGTGACGATTATTTCAACCGGTCCTGGGCCTCCCCTAGGTCGACTCAGCATCAAACGAGTAACTGCTCTGCTGTGTGAACATCGCCACTGGAGAGACAAAGGCGGCGGGCGTGGTGAATCCAAGTCCCGGGCGAAGCCGGGTCGTACAGCTAGTGCATAATAAAAAATAGTTTCCATGACTCTCAGGTTATGACACAAAATCTGTGAAATATAAGAAAACATTAAAATAAATTAAAGGCCTTTCTTAAACCAAGGCCCCTGATGATAGGAATGTCCGTGAATTGATTCATCATCATGGCTGGATAATAGCTGTCCCCGATGAGAGGCCACGCACGCGACTCAATCCATGCGCATGCCACGAAGCTGAGCACAGCCCAAGGCCTAAATAGTTGCGCACCAAAGTCAACTGGGATCAGCGTCGGGGTCGGCTCCAGTGGTGCGGTAAGCCGACAACGATGGCGCGCAGGGCTTCTGGTGCGAGCAGCTGCGGCGTCCGCCCAGGCAACGTTTCTGAAGAGGTGAAATCTCCCGAGCCTGACCATTTCAGTCACCGCCAGAGATGCTTGTTCCCCGATGGACCTCGGCATTGGTGTTGTGCTCGCTGAATTAGATGTGGAGTATTTTGATTTGAAGCTTTCGTGACTGCAGGAATCCATATGCTTTGGTTCTTTCGGTAAAGTCACGTAGGTAGAAAATAAAATAAATCACGACGATTCTAGATTTAAAGGTTTCGTGACTGCAAGGATCCATACTCTTTGGTTCTATTCGGTAAAGTCACGTAAAAGTATAAAACAACAGAAAAAAGTAAAAAAATAAAAATATATAACAAAGTAATAAAATATATAAATAAATAAGATGCTTTCACTGCGTTTCGGCCACAACACAAGTGGCCTTCATCAGGTGAAGGGACCAGACTGTCTCGAGGACAGCACTGGAGTGAACACAGCCAAGCTCAGACCGTGACCTTTAAGCTGTGTGAGAGGAAGCAGAGCGCCTTGACAAAGGAATTAGCATAAAAATTTGCATTTAATTGGCGGACTGAGCATGATGAATGGTGTAGAGAGGGGGAACATGTGCAGACCGGCGAGGGGGGGAGGGGGAGTTTACATATTGATGGTGTGACAAGGGAATTTAAGCAGCTGCGAAAGTTTGGGATACCACTACTTGAAAAAATATACTGTACCATTGAAAATTAGTTTAATGTTTGGTTCGATTTAGAACATCTTTCCAATGGTTGTTTAATTTGAAACCATCTTCTCGGTTGAAATTGTGTCTGTGTTTGTAAATCTGAATTGCCTCGTGAACAAATCTCTGATAAAAACCCGTGGGTTTGCAAAGAACCTTGGTATCGGAGAAAATTATATCGTGATCACCCACAGCGTTGTAACAGTGATCAGCTACGGCAGAAGAATTCGTTCTGCCGTGTTTCAAATCTGATTTGTGCTCACGAATTCGGTCAGAGACATGTCGTTTCGTCTCCCCGATATAGGAGTCACCACAGGTGCAGATCAATCTGTAAACTCCGGGGTACTGTAAGTCAGGAATGACATCTTTCACAGAAGGGATCAGGTCACGGATTTTGTGTACTGTATTGAACCGGACCAGGATCTTGTGTTTGTTTAGAATTTTGGAGATCTTTTTAGTAACGCCTGCTATATATGGCAATGTGATGGTTTTGATCGGAGTATCAAGTTGTTGTTTCTGTATGGAGGGAGAAACAGCTTGGCGGATGGTACGGTCAGAGTATCCATTCCTTTTTAGGGCCAGATGCACATGTTTTAATTCACTGGTCAGGTGGTGTTGGTCCGAAATGCAATGAGCCCTGTGGTATAACGTTTTGATGAGAGAATTATTTTGCGTCGGGTGGTGGTGGGAATCAGGTTTCAAGTAGGAATCTGTGTGGGTGGGTTACCTGTAGACAGAATGTCCCATTGAGCCATCAGGTCTCCTCTCAAACAGAACATCCAAGAATGGCAGCTTGCCATCTTTCTCCACTTCCATGGTGAATTTGATGGCGGGGTGTCTGGAATTAATGTGGTCTAGGAAAAGGTTCAAAGCCGGGAGGCCATGTGGCCAAATGACGAAAGTGCCGTCTACATATCTCTTCCACAGGGAAGGTCTGAGGGTGGAAGTCTGGATGGCGTCTGATTCAAATTTCTCCATGAAAATATTGGCTATCACTGGTGACAAGGGGGATCTCATGGGGGTACCCTCATTTTGTTTGTTGAAGGAGCCATTCCAAGCAAAGTAGGTATTGTTGAGGCAGTGCCTAACCAGTGCAGGTGTGTCGGGGTCTAGTCCATGTTGGACCAAATTTTCAATTATTTCAATGGTATCAGGTACTGGGACCTTGGTGAACAAAGAGACGACATCGAAGCTGACAAGGATATCGTCAGGGGACAGTACAACGTCTTTGACCATAGAGACCAATTGGGCTGAGTTAAGTACAGCTGAGGCGGTCTTGCCAGTGAAAGGCAGCAAGATATCTGACAGAAAACGGGCTAGTCTATAGGTAGGGGAGTTGATCGTAGTTACGATGGGTCATAGTGGGGTGCCTTCTTTATGAATCTTGGGAAGACCATAGAATCTAGGGGGTCTTGCAGCAGAAGGTTTTAGGGAGGGACGTTTAGTTGGGTCGATTAGGGAGGTCGAACTTGTGATGATCTTGTTGTTTTTTATCGCTAGGCTATTAGTAGGGTAATTTTTAATTTTTTAGTAACTTCCATCGTTGAGCAGACGTTTCGATCGCAACACAAGCAATCTTCATCGGGTGGAACAACCACAGCAAGAAGCATGCTGAAGTATGCGAGAGAGCTGCCATGGCAAGAGGTTATATAGGTAAGGGGGGAGGCAAGGGGGGAGAGAGAGGGGGGAGGGGTGTGGGGCAGGGGAAGGGGAGCTGCGTGAGCGCTAGGGGGAGAAAAAGTGAGGCTGGGGGGGGGGGGGAGTTGGAAGCTAAGTGTGGGACACGGGGGGAAAGTAACTCAGAAAAATATACTAGTAAACGGCAGGTAGGATGGAAACAACTGCATCCAGTTAAGGCTTTACCTGGTTAATAACATCCTTCCAATGATTGCTCAATTTGTATCCATCTTCTCGGGTGAAGTTACGTCTATGTTTATATATCTGGATGGCTTCATGAACAAACCTTTGATAGTTGCCCGAAGGTTTGCAGAGTACCTTGGTCTCGGAAAAAAAACAATATCATGCGAGCCCACAGCGTTATAACAATGGTCTTGGTTCTGCCGTGTTTCAGATCTGCGTTGTGTTCACGAACACGGTCCGAGACATGTCGTTTCGTTTCCCCAATGTAACTGCTACCGCAGGTACAACTCAGTTTGTAGACTCCAGGGTAAAAGATTTCCAAAATCTTAGACAAACAAACACAAGATCCAGGTCAGATTCAATACAGTACACAAAATCCGTGATCTAATCCCATCTGTGAAGGAGGTCATTCCTGACATGCAATACAATGGAGTCTAAACAGAGGGATAAGGGTGATAATCGTCACCATTATCAATTATTGTAAGTAAAACATTTCAATTCCACTTTTTCTTTCAATATATTTTCCCTTATTCTAGTTAAATGTTTAATGTGTCTGTTTTTTTTACGTGATACGAAGTGGGGGAAATTCATATAGCATTCGATACACAAAGACGGAGGGGGTGATAATTTTAAGAACCAGGAACGCAACCCTATTTTTCCCATAAGGTCTATTATCATTATTTGTCGAACGCTGTTTTGCCAAGCACGGCATTTTCCAGGAACGTAACCCCACGTTCAGCGAGGTATGACTATACTAAATTTAAACAAGTTGTCCAAAACCTATTTTACATTTGAAGTTCGTAAATAATGCGGATAATTATAATATTAGAATAACCTATTGCTAAATATAGTGTGCAATGTAAATATGACCAGAATCCCCTCCAGCTGCATTTGCGATAACAGAGCGTGTCTGCTTTATATGG